GAGACTACGATTTTTTGTCAGATTCTTGTAAGATTTCGCCCATATTCAAAGATCTTGTATGTATTTCATAAGATCTTATGTCAGATTTTTCGACCTGGGGATCTTCTTCTACTATATATAGTAGAAGAAGAACTTTAAAAATATCATACATGAAAAATGCTAAAGAAAATAGAGTAAGCGAAAAATAATAATCATAAACACATGTTTTTTCTTGCAGAACGAATCTGCTTTGCTACGAATTCATTTAATAATTCTTCTAGAATTGATGTAATTTATAAGCGCGTTGTTGTATTACATTGGTCTGTGTTACTCTTGTAAATTTTTCAATCAAACTTTTCTATTTCGAACTTCTCTACTTATGCATTGATGTTTGTACAACAACGCAATGAGCATAACTATTACGAAAGGCCAAAAGACTGTGCTATAGAGAACGTCAAACAATCAACCGAAAGATCGTTTCATTTGGGGTGACTGCATTATCTGCTGGGAGAGATTGCACATCAAACGGTTGATAGTTCTGAATATGGCTGAAGTGATGATTGTATCAGTACCCATTCCCATGCGTCTTTTGATTTTTAATAAAGCTATCAAATCTATTGTACTTCTATTTTCATTTAAGACTTGACTGGGATCAACTTCATATTGATACAAAAATTTTCGAATTCTATTCGTTTTCTGGTAATATCAAGGAACAAAAAAAATGAAATCCAATCTGTACGATCGATTTTTGAAGTCGCTATACATACAAATGTTTATTACATACATTATTCAAAATTCGTTCCATTTCGTAAGTAAATAATTGTGCGATAAATTTTGGAAAATATTGTCCATGAGAACAAATACCAAATGGTTGTGAATTTAATATAATAGTATCTTCAAATGCAGGATTCTTTACCTAATTTTCAAAGCGAAGAAAAACAATTGATTAACATCAAACTCCGTGAATTAAAATGTTAAACCCAATGAACTTGTGTTATCGGTTAAATTAATCATTTTTTTAGTATGTCCTCAGTAAACTATTGTCGTAATGAAATAGTTTGTATATTGTAACATTATAGTTTTTGGCCCTCAATGTGTGAGCGTATATCAAGATCATAGGTCACGCTCGAAACTAACCATTGTTCACGTATCGCACATGAAAGTAATCACCTGATCTTGAGGTATGTACAATATGCATGGATAGATTGGGATTTATATGCGTATCTTTCAACACTCATTGCCAGTAGATTGGTGGAGAAAGAAAAACAAAACAAAAAATGTAGCAGTCCAAAATTCGAATACTGAAAATGATCCAAATCATGGTAAAATTGTCTTTTACAGAAATTATCATTTTAACAAAATTTATAAAGATGAATATTTTTACCTTAATTTTTATTCGAAATTCCAATTGACAAAGTGTTGAATTAAATGAAAGACGTTTATATACACAATCGAAATTTCCAAGATCCAGTGTATTAATTTCAGCATAATAAACTGAAACGGGAATATCTTCAGCACTCATAACTTGTCGTACTTCCCATGTTATAGATGGTTCTTTTTCTGTTTTACTATTTGCTTCGCGATTCAATGGATACAGCATTACATCTAACAAGACAATTATTATAATTGATTATTTTATAATATATATATATGTCGTAGGATAGATTAAAATCCAGTACAGTTTTAAATCGAACTAGGACAGATTAAAATTTTAATTTTTCCTAGTTCAGATTAAAATTTTAAAGTGAACTAGTTGACTTCGAAATGCATTTTAATCTCAACTAGTTGACTTTAAAATTTTGATCTGAACTAGGACACATTAAAATGTTTAGTCAAATTATCCGTGGCTGGCTGGTTGAAGATACGCGTTGGGGTGACGACAAGGGTCTATGGTGAATGATGATG